GTATATTTTTTACTAAAAAGTCTTATTTAGGTCAGCCTGTATAAAATTTATATATTTTATATTTAATTTTTTTACATAAAGAGTAGTTTTATCAAGTTCTCAATTCTTAATATCAAAAAAAAATATTTTGAAAACTGAAAAAAATCAAGAAATTCAAAACTTTTTGATAAAAACTACATAGAAAAATATTTCAGTCGATAAAAACTATCAAAATTCTTGTTAAAAAAATTTGTTTTAATTGTATTGTATTGAAGTTGATGTCTTTGTGACTATATAATTCAATTGTTCATTTCATATACTGCTTGATTTTAATACATGAGACAAAACCACAGCCAACGTCGTAAAATATATTTTGAATCAAAAATGAATTTCTCAGTGATACAGGATGACTCCGCTAAGAGTTTTATTCTATATTAATAAACCAAAAAAATGTCTTAAAAATTACACTTTTTAAAGTCTTACATAAGTCACCCTGTATAAAAATTGTTTATGTTATATTTAAAATTTTGAAATATAAACAATAAATCTCTTAACGCCAAAAAATTTAGATTTTGGAAAATAAAAAAAAACATTTTTGTTAGCAAGCTTTTGCCCTTTTTAGCAACACATTTCAAAAATATTTAAGTTGGTACAATAATGACAATTGTTAAAAAAGTTATTACCTGGAACTACACAATTTTTTTTTGTGTCGCTCAGTATATTTTTTACTAAAAAGTATTATTTGGGTCAGCCTGTATAAAATTTACACATTTTATATTTAATTTCTTTACATAAAGAGTAGTTTTATCAATTTCTCAATTCTTAATGCCAAAAAAAGATATTTTGAAAACTGAAAAAAATCAAGAAATTCTGAACTTTTAGATTAAAACTATATAGAAAAATATTTGTCAAAAAATTTTGACATTTATTTTTTGACATTTGACATTTTTTTATATCTATTTAACGATACTGATGATCTTGTATATGTTTTTTAACAATTATTTAGAAAAGGGACAAAAATTTTGCCAATAAAAGCCACAAATAACATTGAACAGAGTTACAATTTAAGATAAAGCTTCCCTATTTCTTCTTCTAATAGTCTGTAGATAAATAGATAGATTATAGATAAAAAAAATTTAACATTTTTTTCAAAAATATTTAAGACAATAATAAAAATTGTTAAAAAAGTTATTACCTGGAGCAATAATTATTATTTTTACACTATTTTTGTGATGGGATTTTTTTGTGTCGGTCAGTATATTTTTTACTAAAGTCTTATTTGGGTCAGCCTGTATAAAATTTATATATTTTATATTTAATTTTTTTACATAAAGAGTAGTTTTATCAATTTCTCAATTCTTAATGCTAAAAAAAAATTTTGGAAACTGAAAAAAATCAGGAAATTTTAAACTTTTAGATAAAAACTACAAAATATTTCAGTCGATAAAAACTATCAAAATTTGTTTTAATTGTATTGTATTGAACTTGATGTCTTTGTGACTATATAATAAACGAGAAATTCCTACCTGGAACACTCTGTACTATACAGGGTGATTCAAAAATGTCGGACAATCTCTAATTTGGTGATAGAAAATGTTAATAAAAACTCAGATTTGCTTTTTTAATTTTTCTATAGGTCGCGTGGTTTTGTGCACAAATTGGCAACGCTGCAATACATTTTGGACCACGTTGGGCCTACACTCAATAATTTGAAACGTTTGTTACCATAGAAACCAAGAAATTTTTGATGTAGTGTTGCCAAATTTACTGATTCAGAAAAGCTGTACATTTTGGCATGTTTTTCTTATTACTTTTACAATTACAAATTTTATTATCACCCTGTATATCCGTAATGAAGCTTTATAGGATTGTGGTTTATTTGACAAATTAGTGCTATTTTTTGATGTGGTTGCAAGTTTTTCGCAATATTAAGAAAACATCCTGTATAAGGGAAAAAATATTCAGTGCGGTCCTTTTGAATCACGCTGTATTTATTATTACACATTATTTTTGTGAAGCGATTTTTTATGTCACTCAGTATTTAGTGGAAAGTTTTAGCTGAGTCACTCTGTATAAAACTTGAGTATTTGTTTAAGGAACAAAAACACAGTTGTTGAGAGTGTTTCGAATTAAAACTGATATAAATTCGCATTTATTAGATAAGAAGCTGACTGTGAAATGGACAAATGACGTCAGAAAGGTCACCAAATAAAGGTTTTTCTTTCTTGTCACAAATTGTTGTGAAAGAAAACTAATGTTTTGTCCAAATTTAAGTAGAAATAAATATGGTTGATTTAATATTAAATTTTAACCATTCATTATACAACATTTGAGTCAATGTTTTTGTTGTCTTTGATGAAAAAATATTATTTTGACAAAAGTAATAGAAAATTCATCTGCGGTTAGAAAATTAACATCGATTATTTGCATACAGGATGTCCTTTTTAGATTAAAAACGCATTTAGCAACATTTTTAGAACATGAAAAACAAATTATAGAAGGTTATTGGTGTTTATTATGTGACACCCTGTATAAGTGTTTTTGTCACTCCATATTTTTGAAAAAATATTTATAAAAAAAAATCAGACTGAAATAAATAACACAAAAATTACGTAAAAATGTAAGAAATATATATTTTTTTTCAATTAATTGAACTAAACTTTTAGTTCATTGTTTTAATTAAATAATCAAGCACCCATCTCTTTAATAAATCGATAATTACAAGAGTTTTTTTTTTTTTCTGTAACTTTCTAATTTTTTTGCTCCACTTTCGCCGTGTGTCAAAAACTACATTGAAAATTTCCGTCCACTTATTAAACATAATTTTATCTGCACAATTTTCAACTATTTCAGACAAAAAATGAAAACTTTTAAGTAAAAAAGGCTCAAAAACGTGAATATTTCGTTCAAGGCGAAGCCGAGTTATTACTTAAACTTTATTTAAAACTGACAGTTTTTTAAAGCATTGAAAGACGAAAATAGTGTATTAAAATACGAGTTACAGAAGCTATACTAATTTTTTTTAATTTTGCGCTTTTTATGAATTTTTTAAAGAAACAATAAAAAAATTAAACTTAGTGAATTTTGCGTCAATTGGTAACACATAAACTCAAAATGACATTTGTCATAATCTCATGATTTGCTCATATTCTCCATCAAAAATTCGTGAATTTGGGAAATTGAAAACAATTTATTCCCAACGGCATGGTCATCAACATTAAAAACATAAAATACACTAAAGTCAGACTAATTCGTTTGTTAAAGACGCAAAATAAAAAAAAAATATTCACTATTAACACTGAGAAAATATAAATTGGAAAAGAAAACTGCAGTTGAAATTAATCTAAAAATTTACGACCTGTTTGAAAAAAAAAGTGATCTAATGACGAGTGAAATGCAAATTTTCTCGCTCAATATTAATTTTTGATTAAAAATTTAGTTTAAAAATGTAATAAAATCTTATTTTTTTATATGACTTTAATTTCAAAGTTGGTAACATTTCGTCACCATGACGACAAGATTTTTTTTGACAATTTATTAGAACACTGTTACCTAGCAACAGACTTTTCATTATTTCACAACCAAATTGCAACTTTGAAAAGAAAAAACCCTACTTTATGTGAATTTTCAATATTTTAAAATACTGTGACTCTGAAATTAAGTTGGCAACATTTCCTCACTATGACGAGATTTTTTGATAATTTATTACTACACTGTTATCTAGCAACCACAAAGAAATTTTGTAAAGAAAAAAACATAATTTTTTCTAATTTGCGTTTATAATACGTTTATTAACGTCTCCCGTAGGAGTCGTTTATGGCTCTATAAAAGCACACTGTGCTTTAATGAATTTAGGGTTATTTAGTTTTTGAATGCCGCTTTTGACTTGTCAGGTAACAAATTTTGCGTTGTTGCTTCGGCAATTTCGCGAATTTCGGGCGGAGTGCAAACTAAATTCTGTTTCTCATATTTTATTTATTATTATTATGTTGTAATACTAATAACTAATAATTTGTAAATTTTATTTTTAATGACAGGCGCCAGAAATGACTCAAAAAAAACAGGTGGGCGCCGAGCGTTACCAACCGATACCAACTAACACAAAATTCTCTAGGCGACAAAAATAAATATTTTTTTAATTAAAATAAGAAAAAAGAGAGCGCAAATTAGAAAAAATAGCATAAAATACTCGTTTTATAATGGCATTGGCGCACTCATCCCATAACTTGGGATTCGTGCGCCAAATCAACCCTTATAAAACTTGTTCTTTAATATACTATTTTATCATTATAAGAAATTCAATAAATTGTAATACTGCGTCTCCAAACAAAACAAAAAAAACATGTAAAACGTCACAATTTCTAAAAAAGATTATTCACGGTTACCAACTTAAATTCAGAATGTACTTCTACAAAGCTGCCAACGTAATTTCAAAGTCATAGGCCTCTTTAATCAGACATTTATTTCAACGCCTGGTATTATTTTTTTAAGTTTTATTAAACACCGAAATATTTTCAGCAAAATAGAGTTTATAAAACTACCTTTGCTTTTATTTAAAATCTAGTTTTTTCTACGATATAATAAATTTTTTAAATTAACTTGGCAACACTTCGTCGTTTTTTTTTTGACAATTTATTAGTACACTGTCACCTAGCAACCAATATTTTACAAATAAATTTTGTAAAGAAAAAAACTTATGTTTATTATTATTAGAAACTACATAATTTATAATACTGCGTCTTCAATTAAATTTCTTAAACAAAAAAAAAAGATGCAAAACATCGATTATTCAATGTTACCAACTTAATTTCAGAATGTGATTCTAGAAATAAGTTCACTTGTATGTACAGGTCTACCAACGTAATTTTAAAGTCACAGATTGCTTTGATCGGAAATTTTTTGTGTTTTTTGTTCATTTCTTTTACAGTTTTTTTGTTTGTTATTGAAAAATATAAATTTTGAGTTTTAACTAGACCATTAAGTATAATAACAAAAATGTGTTGTGTGCCCTGTACTGACATTTTACAAAAAAAAATTTGTAAAGAGAAAAACCTAATTTATTTTTATTATTATTAGGAATTACATAATTTATAATACTGCGTCTCCAATTAAATTTCTTAAAAAAAAATGTAAAACGTCTATTATTCACTGTTACCAACCTAATTTCAGAATGTGATTCTGATTACGTCTGCTAACGTAATTTTAAAGTCACAGATTGCTTTGATCGGAAATTTTTTGCATTTTTTGTTCATTTCTTTTACAGTCTTTGGTAAAAATATGATAATTTTTTGTTTGTTATTGAAAAATATAAATTTTGAGTTTTAACTGGACCACCCAGTATAATAGCAAAAATGTGTTGTGTCCTCTGGACTGACATTTTACAAAAAAATTTTGTAAAGAGAAAAACCTAATTTATTTTTATTATTAGGAATTACATAATTTATAATACTGCGTCTCCAATTAAATTTCTTTAAAAAAAAATGTAAAACGTCTATTATTCACTGTTACCAACCTAATTTCAGAATGTGATTCTGATTATAGATTGCTTTGATCGGAAATTTTTTACGTTTTTTGTTCATTTCTTTTACAGTTTTTGGTAAAAATATCATAATTTTTTGTTTGTTATTGAAAAATATAAATTTTGAGTTTTAACTGGACAGTATAATAACAAAAATGTGTTGTGTCCCCTGTACTGACATTTTACAAAAAAAAATTTGTAAAGAGAAAAACCTAATTTATTTTTATTATTATTAGGAATTACATAATTTATAATACTGCGTTTCCAATAAAATTTCTTAAACAAAACAAAAAAAAGTAAAACGTGTATTATTCAATGTTACCAACTTAATTTCCGAATGTGATTCTAGAAATAAGTGCACTTGTACAGGTCTACAAACGTAATTTTAAAGTTACAGATTGCTTTGATCGGAAATTTTTTGCGTTTTTTGTTCATTTCTTTGACAGTTTTTTTGTTTGTTATTAAACTGGACCACCCAGTATAATAGTAAAAAAGGGGCTATGTCCCCTGGACTGACCTCGTCAAAGGTGGGCTGTTTGGCGCGTTGCGCCGCCTTCTCCGTCTTGGGCGGTGGGGGCTTCCTCGTGGACCAGTTGGTCCTGATGGACCTCGAGCCCAGCCATTGTCCATTCATCGCTTGGATGGCGTTCTCGGCCTCCGCCTTCTTGACGAACGACACAAACGCGTACCCCTTGGACTTGAGCGTCTGGGGGTCGCGCACAATCCGGCAGTTGGAGATCTCCCCGAAGGGAGCGAAGGCCTCTCTTAGTGTTTCAGTCTCGATCTCCGGCGACAGGTCCCCAACGAAGATGTGGTGGTGGTTGGAGGTGTCCTGCTTGGGCTGGTTCCCCGGACTGGTGGCCCAATTCACCTTCATCTCCTTGTCGAGGAAGAGGCGCTTGTTCATCGCCGCCAGCGCCGTGGAGGCCGACTGGTGGTTGGTGAACTCGACGAAGGCGTAGGGGTCGTTGCCGGGCTCGCGGATGATCTTGCACCCCTTGACGGGGCCGATCTGCGAGAACAGGGTGCAGAGGAGGTCCTCGGAGACGGAGGGGTCCAGGTTGCCCACATACAAAGTTTTTGGATGGCTCTCGTCCGACATGGTGACGACGCCGGCACGACTGGGGGCTACTACACCACACTTACACGATCCGGTTGCGCATACAGGGGGGCTCACACGCACGGGATACGACACAACATCAAGGGGGCCTCGCGGTTACAACGATCGAGAACAAGGGACGAAAACTGTGGACTACTTTTCTCAGACACTTACAGCTGTCATTCGCAAACGGTCAAGAAGCAAAAGTCCCCAGATATTTCACTAAATGCAACACCACGAAAACACAACAACTAGAGAGCCGGATGATTTCCTAACCCTTAATACACACAAATTAATTTATTTTGCATTTTTAAATATTTGCTACAACTAACCCAAAACAACACTATCAAACTTTGACAATTAAAATAATCAATTAATTTTTTAATGACAATTAAAAACCGCCATCTATTTTATACACTTCTGTGGCCAAAATGCACTAAATTTATAATTTATTCTGGAATAATAAAATCACAACAATACAACGTTTTCATAATCAATAATTGATTTATTGAAAAGTTTAAATTGAATACTTTTAGAAAAACCAGTATTTTTAAATCACAAGGGTTCCAAACCTTAAAAAAAACCTGAAAAATAACAAGGAAAGAGACACCTGTTTTTTGGTAATTTTTCTTCTAGAGATTCAGATATTAAAACTCCTAATTGTTTTTGTGTTATTTATGATAAATAATGACAAAAACAAGTCGAAATCTGAAACCTTTTTATTTCATTTATAGAAAAAAACTTTATTTATCTTTAGGTTGTCAAACCTGGAAATTTTACTACAAAATTGTAGAAACAAATAATTTAACACATGTTTTTGGCCTCTTTATTAGCCGGATCACCGAATTATTCACTTTTATTTGTTAATAAATTAATATTGATAATTCAGTCAACTTATTTCATTTTTTTATAGAGTACGTTCCAAACCCCATTTTTGAATTATTTGTGACAAATGAAGACAAAAAAGTTTTTTAAAACCCAAAATGTGTTTTTTTACTTATTTAAAAAAAAACAAGTATTTGAAAATTGTCAGGGTTCCAAACCTGAAACCTTTTTATTACATTTGTAGAAAAAAAAAACTTTAATTATCTTTAGGTTGTCAAACCTGTAAATTTTACTAAAAAATTACAAAAACAAATAATTTCACACATGTTTTTGGCCTCTTTATTATCCGAATCACCGAATTACTCATTTTTATTTGTTAATAAATTAATATTGATAATTCAGTCAATTTATTTCATTTTTTTTATAAAGTACGTTCCAAACCCGATTTCTGGATTATTTGTGACAAATGACAAAAAGTTTTTTAAAACTCAAAATGTGTTTTTTTTTACTTATTTGCTAAAAAAATAAGTATTTGAAAATTGTCAGAGTTTCAAACTTTTTGAAAAACAACAAGAGAAGAGACAACTTTAAAATAATTTTTTTCTAGACTTATAAATCAGAATTTTTACTTGTTCTTGTTTTAATTATGATAAATAATAACAAAAAAACGGTCGATTTCTAAAATCTTATAAAAAAATAATTTATTAAAAAACACTTTAATTGGTTTTAGGTTGTCAAACCTGTAAATTATACTAAAAAATCGCCGAAAAACATGCAATTAAACACGTGTTTTTGTTCCAATTGCAGGAACATTCATTTCTAATTGTAAATAACTCAATAATGATAAACCGATCAATTTATTTAATTTTTTTCAGTTTTTAGTTTACATTTTGGAACGCACTCCCGGCCATAAACGTCAAAACTTTTAGGTTATACGGGTTATGTTGCTTATATTATCCAAATTGTGCGATAATTCGACACGAAAAAGCTCTCACGAGAGCAAACAAACCCTCAGATAGCACCACATGTCCAAATTATGATCGATCACCAACTCCAGTCGGAATTATGTCCTCCGAAGAGTCGCCGGAATCCCGGCAAAAAAACGAGTTGGAAGCCCTACAGGTACGCTTTTTGTGGCTAAACCCCCTTTAATTGTGGCTTTTAGGCCATTTACGGCGACGACTTGAGAGACTTGCGGGGGCAAGCTGCATGGATGACCTGGACACCGCTAAACTTGTCAATTTCATTGAACCCCCAACAAGGCAGTTCCGGCCTCCACGAAGTCTACGTCAAGCTCGACTTGCACGTCACATGCCCCGAGACGTACCCCAACACCGTCCCCGTGCTCAAACTCGAGAACAGCAAAGGCCTTTCCGACAACTCCCTCATCGAACTCCAAAAAGCCTTGGAGGAGAAAGCGGGCAAGTTGCGGGGGGAAGAAATGATCTTCCAGTTGGCCCAACACGTCCAGGAGTTCCTCCACGTGCATAACAAACCATCCTCGAAGAGTTTCTACGACGAAATGCTCCAGCGTCAGAAAGAAAAAGAAGAAAAAGATTTACAAGCCAAGTTGATAGAAGAAGACAGAGAAGTATAAAAAAAAAACACTAATTGACCCCCAATTAACCCCGACACTCTTTTTAGCGACAATTCGTCCACCAGGAAGTGCAAAAAAGGCAAGAAATTTTGAAATTGGAGTCGCGCATGCGCCGTTACAATTCCGACGAGAGTGATCATAGACGGCGCTCAATGTCAAACACGTAAGTGATTGGTTGGTGAAATCAAGCGCCAAATTCAAATTTTAGTTCGATTGAAAACAGCGATGAGGGGGTCTGCGACCATAAAAAGACCGTAATTGTGGAGTTTTACAACCGTGAGGTTAAAAGAGGACAGTGTTTGAGTTTGTAACCCAACTTTATTCGATTTTGTCCATAAAATGTGATTGTTTTAGAACATTGTAGTTACAATCACGTGGTTTTTATCGGAATGGATGTGAAAACCGGCGAAATTGTGCTTTTAAGCGAGTGGGTGTTAAATAATCGGAGACATTTGTCGAGTCTTGAACAGGAATTTAATTATTTGACTAAATTAAAGCATCCGAATCTCGCTCATTATTTGAATTTTAAGTGTGAAAGTAGTACAGATGGCGCTGTTGTTGTTTATATTCTGAAAGAGTATGTCAGTGGTCCCAACTGTGCTTTTTTCATGAATGAAAATCTCAATGTGAGTATCCAGTTTATAAAATATGTGGCGAAAGGTGTGCTCACCGCTCTGGACTACTTACATCGGAATAACGTCGTGCATAAAGACATAAGAGAGAGTTGTGTTTATATCAGTGAGAAAGGTTGGTCACACTGTGGTTTTTCCCCCGTTTTAGTGTGTTTTTAGGGATTGTTGCGTTGGCTAATTATAGTTTGCATCGCCGATTGACTGATATTTCGTCACAACGCAACACTAGTAATAATTATAGCAAAAAGACTGATATTTTTAAATTTGGGGTATTTTTGATTTCACTATTGCAAGGCTCGAGTTATGATGATGATGTCGATGTTCCACCCACAGTGCCTTCCGATCTGTATGATTTTTTATCAAGGTTTGAATCACACTTTCAAAGTAATTTTGCTAAATTGAGTTTTTAGGTGTTTGGAAAAAGGGGAGAAAGAGCGTTTTACTGCGACCCAATTACTAAATCATTCGTTTCTCCACCAAAACAATTTATTGTCGTCTCCGGGTCATAAAATCGATCAAATTCCCGATGGGAATATTTCACCGGTTTTTACAACAGATGAGTTTAATCCCTTGCAGCATCAAAGTGGGCAGTCTCGAATTGAGAAAGAGTTTGAAATTATCGATAATTTGGGCAAAGGGGCTTATGGAGACGTTATTAAAGTGATTTTTGTGTTGTTTTTTTTGGATTTTATGATGTGATTCATATTCCAGGCTAGGAATAATCTCGATGGGAGGTATTATGCAATCAAACGGATTAAATTAAATCCGAGAAATAGGCAATTAAATAAAAAAATTGTTCGTGAAGTTAAGTTGTTATCAAGGCTTAATCATGAAAATATAGTGCGTTATTATAATTCCTGGATTGAAAGGACGGTGATAAGGAGTGATGACAGTAGTGATATGGAGAGTACCATGTCGGGGTTTGGTGATAAGTGCCCCAGAATAGTCCGTCCAGATGAGGTTTGTTAAAAAAAATTAACAAATTTTTGTTGATAATTTTGAAATTACTCGTCGTGGAGCATTTTAACTAGTTTCATAGTCTAGGAAAGTGAATTTGGAAAGTAGGTTTTTTTTTGGGGCAAAAATTCAAAAAAATCTATTTTCGTTGATAACTTCTAAACTATTAGGAATTTTGTGGTTTTCTCAACGCCAATCGATTCCCCAGGACATTTTACATACGCGTAGTCAAAACCATTAACATTTTGGGTTGTAATTTCGTCGAAATTGACAGAAATTTACATGTGATATTTAATTTTTTTTTAATTTTAAACGCGTTTTTCCAAAACTAAATAAACTACCGAAATTTGCTCATAATTTTCTACCGATTAGTGAAAACCCGGAGATAATCAGGGTTTTAATTTCGTCTAGAGACACGTTTTGAGTTTTTCGACTTTACAAAATAGAGAAATTGATAACTTGAAAACTATTGGTCTTAGCGTAAAACTGTTTACGGAGTCAGATTCCCCGGAGGATTTTACATGAGATATCAATTCCGGAGCGCTCTGTGTGATTTCCGGGCACCCAAAAAATTCTTGTTTTTTTCATGGTCAATGTCTGAAAACATTCAAAATTGTTGAATATTTCGAAAAATACTCATCGTGGAACACTTTAACTGATTTCATCGTGTTGAGCGCGTGATTCTACATCTAGGAAAGTAGATTTTGAAAGTACAAGATTTTTTTTTACACATTTTCAAGGTAAAAAATAAAAAAAAATGTTTTTTTTTTCAAATTCGACTCAACAAAATTTTATGCCCTTTTTTAAGTTCCTAGAATCACTAGAAGTGCGAAAAATGTCAAATGGTCCGATTTTAAAATTTTTGATTTATAAAATTTTTTCAAAGTTTTGGTCGATTTTTGGGTTAACTGCCAGTAACTTCGAAACTATAAGTCGCGGCCCTTTGTGTTTGGCACCGTTGAAAAGTACTTTTAATTTACCATCTAGTGAAAAAAAATTACTGACTTAGTACTCATATGTACTGAGAAAATCGCTGTTGAAAGTAAAAGTAATTAAAAATATATTTTTGTCGATAACTTTTAAACTGTTAAGAATTTTGCGGTTTTCTCAACTCCAATCGATTCCCCAGGACATTTTACATACGCACAGTCAAAAACATTAATATTTTGAGGTGTAATTTCGACAAAATTGACACAAATTTGCAACATGTGATTTTTTCCTTTTTTTTTTCTCAAAAACTAAAAATCCCATACGAGAAATAAAAAACCGCCAAAATCTGCTACCAATTATCTATCGAATAGTGAAAGCCCAGAGTTAACAGGGTTTTAGTTTCGGCTAGAGATGCGTTTTGAGTTTTTCGATTTTACAAAATAAAAAAATTCATAACTTGAAAACTATTACTCTTAGGTTAAAACGGTTTACGTGGTCGGATTCCCCGGAGGATTTTACTTAGTTTTATCAATTCCGGAGCGCTATGTGTGTTTTCCGGGCACCCAAAAAAATGTTGACTTTTTCAAGGTCATTGCCTGAAAACATTTAAAATTGTTTAATATTTCGAAAAATATTCGTTGTAGAATATTTTAACTGATTGCATCGTGTTGGGCGCGTGATTCTACATCTAGGAAAGTAGATTTTGAAAGCGCAACAATTTTTTTACATATTTTCAAGTAAAAATTCAAAAAATTTGATTTTTTTCAAAGTCGACTTAAGAAAATTTTATGCCCTTTTTTGAGTTCCTAGAATCACTAGAAGTGCGAAAAACGTCAAATGGTCCGATTTTAAAATTTTTGATTTATGAAATTTTTTCAAAATTTTGGTTAATTTTTGGGTTAATTGCCAGTAACTTCGAAACTATAAGTCGTGGCCCTTTATGTTTGTTACCGTTGAAAAGTTCTTTTAATTTACCATCTAGTGAAAAAAAAATACTGATTTAGTACTCATATTTACTGAGAAAATCGCTGTTGAAGGTAAAAGTAATCAAAAATCTATTTTCGTCGATAACTTCTAAACTATTAAGAATTTTGCGCCAATCGCTTCCCCAGAACATTTTACATACGCAAAGTCAAAAACATTAACATTTTGGGGTGTAATTTTGACGATACTGACAAAAATTTGCAACACTTTAAACGCGTTTTTCTTAAAAACTAATGATGCCATAGGGAAAATTTAAAAACCGTTAAATCAGCTCACAAATATCTATTGACTAGTGACAACCCGGAATCGACCGGATTTTTTGTTTCGTCTAAAGAGGCGTTTTAATTTTTCGACTTGACAAATAAAAAAAAATCATATCTCGTAAACTATCGGTCCTAGAACAAAATTGTTTGCGTAGTCGGAATCCCCGGACGATTTTACATATTATACCGTGCGCTCCGGGTGGAAAAACGTCAATTTTTCGGGGATTCACCCGTTTTATTCCAGCTCACCCTCAACGACAACATCGAAGAGCTAGCGCCCTCTATAAAAAACGTGGAAGTTTCCGTAACATACGACAGCATATCACAGCCCGCGTACAACTCCTCAACCGAAGATTCAATCAGCGATGACGAAAACAGCCTCGACATGTAAATCCCCCAATTTCGCCCAAACCACTTTGATTCGTTCCAAATTCCAGGTTCGACGAATCCGATTCGGATGGAATCGAATTCGAGAGAGACTCCAACGCCCCCAGCCCCAATGACCCGCCCTCCAGCCCCCACGAGCCCCTCCCCGGCCGCCAAATCGAATTCATGTACATCCAAATGGAATTCTGCGAGAAGAGCACTCTACGAAACGCCATCGATAACGGCGTTTACCTCGACGAGGATCGCGTGTGGCGCCTCTTTCGGGAAATCGTTGAAGGTTTAGCCCACATCCACCAACAAGGCATGATCCATCGTGACCTCAAACCTGTCAATATTTTCCTCGATTCGGCCGATCACGTGAAAATCGGCGACTTCGGATTGGCTACGAAGTTTAACGATCACGATTTTAACCGAACGTGTCCGGAAAAGTACGATTTGGACGAAAGCAAGACTGGCCTAGTGGGCACAGCACTCTACGTCGCACCGGAATTAAACGTCGCAACTAAAGCCAACTACAATCAAAAAGTCGATATTTACAGTTTGGGGATTATTTTTTTCGAAATGTGCTACAAACCGTTACCGACAAACATGGAAAGGATCAAGATTTTGACAAATTTGCGCAAGAAAGAGATTGTTTTACCCGAGGATTTTGCATCGGGGAATCCCAAACAGAAATTTCTAGTCACGTGGTTACTGAATCATGACGTTGCGAAACGGCCAACTTCGCTCGAGTTGCTACAATCGGAGCATGTCCCTCCACCGGTGTTGGAGGAGTGCGAATTGAGGGAGTTGGTCAGACACACTTTGAGTAATCCTCAATTGAAAGGTTACAAGTATTTAATTGCGTCCTGTTTCGATCAAACCCTAACACCGGCCCAAAATATCACCTATGATAAGGACTCAAGCGCCCCCACTTTAAACAAACCCCAAGTGTACGATTTCGTCAAGGAAACCATAATTAAGGTAAATAAATAAAATGGAAAAAAATTATTTCGGTTAGATTTTTAAGCAACATGGTGCCCAAAACCTCACAACGCCCCTTTTAATGCCCAAAAGTCACTACTACGAAGGTGTGGAGTCTTGCGTGAAGCTCATGACGCATTTTGGGGGTATTGTGTCGCTCCCCCACGACTTGAGGGTCCCCTTTGCCCGCTACATCGCCTGGAATCGAATCACCCTCCTCCGGCGCTACTCCGTCGAGAGGGTTTATCGCGAAAAACGAGTTTTCGGGTTTTTACCCCGCGAACTGTACGAATGTGCCTTCGATATAGTCACCCCAACACCGGGGAATCACACTTCAGACGCCGAAGTCTTGTATGTAATTCACGAAATCATCACCGAACTTCCAGGGGTGAAAAACAAACATTTTACGATTCGACTCAATCATTGGTTGTTAATGAAAGCGATTTTGTTGCATTGTGGTGTGAAAAGTCGACACGAGGAAATTTTACAGAAGTTTTGCGATTTTAAAGTAGGTTGTGGCAATGTTGATTTACACTAATGTTTGGTTAACAGGATGGTAAAGTACCCAAAAGTGATCTACAAGACTACTTGATCCGATTTGGTCTCTCAGATAATGCGATTTCGACTCTAATTAATTTTTTTAGTTCAGAGTGTGAAGTTAGCAAAGCCGCAAACCATTTTCAGTCAATCACTAGAAAAAAGAACAGTGAAGCGGGGCCTTTAGCCAAACAGGCCTTACAAGAATTGAAAACTATCGCACACAATGCTGAAGCGTTCGGAGTTACTGTAATTCCCCCAGTTTCTTTCACAACAAATACTTAGTGACTTTTAGTTTGAGATGGTGGTAGCACCGGGTGCCATGTACAACATCCAACAGTACTCTGGTATGATTTGTCAATTTGTGTGCGAATTAAAGAAAAAGCACAGACATGGAAATAAGGAGGTTTTGGCCGCAGGGGGGCGCTACGACGCTATGATCACCTCCTATCGAAGAATCATGGAAAATGCGAATATTTTATCTAGGGATATTCGTCAATCAGCAGTTGGTATCTCCCTCTCTTTAGATAAGTTGGTACAAGCCGTCGACGATTTACCATCACTCGAGGTGTTAGACGTTGCGGTTTGCTCAGTCGGTACCAAACAACTTCTCAAGGAGAAGACACAGGTGCGAAACTGTAATTTGGTTTGCGACTTGGCTAAACACAATTACAGATTTTGCGAAATTTATGGTCGGTTGGAGTCCGCTGTGCTATGATTGAGGCTACAAACATCGAAGAGATCCAGGAGCAGTGTGGGGAGTTGAGGGTGCCCCACGTGGTCATGCTCAAAGACAGTGAACAAGGGACGGTGCGCGTGCGCAGTTGGGAACGCGACCGGTTTCAGGAAAAGACAGTCAAAGTGCCCGAATTGGTCGAAACTATGCTACGAATCATCAAGTGTTGGAAGGAGGGGGCGCAGGAGGTGGTTCCAGTCACGGGAACTGTCTTCAGATCTGATAGTAAAAGTGGTTATGAGAAAAATGAGCATGAGGCCAACGTTGCTGTTTTGTTTGTTACCGTTGATAAACTCTCAGCGAATGCGAGACGACGCTACGACATACAAGTTAGTTATGAAAGTTATCGAAAGTTATTACAAATTTTTGTTGTAGATTCGATCACAATTGGACGTTTTAGTGAAAAAATTGAGCGGTTATGTGACAGTTTTAGGGCTCAGTGTCGAATCAAATGTCATTCGGACTGTAGCTTCGTATTTGGAGTGGGAAACCGATCAACAATTCCACAAATCGGTTCAAGTCATTATCGAAAAGTGAGTTTTACATTTGGTTTATCTGTCATTATTTTTTTCCCCTAGACACCAACGCCACAAAAAATACTTATCCGACGTCTGTGATGAAATCTACGAACAGAAAAGTAAAAAGACGAAACCGGCAGTGATACTATTTAGCCTCCTCGACTCATTTTACAGGTTGTTAATCTAAATTGATTACATAGACTATGTAATATATTTTGTAAGATTACAATCATAGTTACAATTCACACGAAATTAAAATGAACATAATTGGTACCGATGATCGGCGTAAAAAAAGTACAAGTGTACAAATCGAATCCTAAAAACTAAAAAAAGTGGAATAACTAATAACTGTACCCCCCTCCATACGACCCCCATTGATTATACCCACTATAACCGCTTTGTGGGTACTGCCAGCCTTGGTACTGGTATTGGTCACCTTGCCCATACGAATAATTGTACTGTCCTGTTTGAGAACCTGAATATTGATAAGACCCTTGAGCGGACGAATTTCCATAATTACCGTAACTCCCATAACTCGAAGCTGATGCTTGCTGGTTTGACGTTTTGTCTTTTTTGCCCGTCGATGTGGCATCACTGAAATAAAAAAATTATTAAAAAATATAAAACAAAATGTTGCAACGCTAAAACCATTCATCAGTTAACCGTGCATGAGTAAAACTGGTCAAATCTGGAATGATAAAATAGTAATCTACAGTGTCGGTAATACATTAGTTCAGATTTCTATACTACCGAATTCACAAAATTTTTGTTTTTTTCTTTTTTAGTCATTTTGTTTTAATACAGCTAGACTGATTAGGGCAGTAAAAGCCCAATTTAAAATCATCTGTGAGTCGAAAAAAGTCTCAAAGGGCGTAAATTGGCAATCTAACCTCAAAATAAGATATTTTTAAATAATTCTTTAGTCTCATCAGTAATTTCTTCGGAAAGTTTGGTATTACAGTATGTCCCGGATTGAGTTTACAAGAGGAAAAAAATTTTTATCCTTGTTTTTACGCCAAAATTGCAAAGGAAAAACATTTTTTGCTTTACTAAAGCGAGTAAGTCTGTAATTAAAACTTCAGTATTCTAACTCAGTAAAAAGAAAAGTTTATTTTTCTCTTGATTTTGGACTTTTTAAATCCCATCACATTGGCGGTTTTATTTTTTTACGCAAGTTAAATAACAAAATTGTTTGTGAAAAACATAATTTTAATAAATGGCAACTTAAAGAAACAGCTTTAAGATAAGAAACAAAGTAATTTTTAACAAAAACTATCATTATTTAATGAATAAATTAATTGTCAAAGTGACATATAGTTGTCAAATAAATAAAACCGCCAATGTGATAGGACTTAAAAAGCAGTGAAAAATTACTCAAAGTCCAAAATTAAAAGAAAACAACTTTTCAAAAAGTACACCTTTAAATCATGATTTTGCCATTTTTTTATAAGTTCGAGAAACTTTCTTAAGATAAAAGAAATTATTTTAAAATCGAACGCAATTGGGCAAAAATAGGGGTGGTACCACGTATTTTACTTAATTTTTATAGACACAAATAATACTAATCAGAATTAAAACAAAAATTGTTGGTTACATTTGAAAATAAATAAATAAATAAATAAAACCTATTTTGTAAATCTTTTCTCATCGATTTAACAATAAAAAATAACACATTTAAATAATAATTTTTAAGTTTTCTAAATGGTTCCATCAAGTCCAAAATTAAAAGAAAACTCAACTTTTCTTTTCACTGAATCAGAATAATAAAGTTTTAATTACAGATTTGCTCGTTTCAGGTGAAGCAAAAAATGTTTTTCCTTTACAGTTTTGGCCTAAAATCAAAGATAAAAAAAATTCCTTTTGTAAACTCAATCCAGGGACATACTGTATATGTGTTATTACTTAAATTAAAGTTTTACCAGTATTTTATCATTAGTTTTGACCGATTTTACTCATGCACGCTTATACTGATGAAAGATTTAGGTATACACGTTTTAGAAGTGAACGGTTTTAGCTTGCAACTTCTAGTTTTGAACAGTTTTAGTTGTGCACTTTTAATATTTCTTAAAAACTCACTTTTTCGACTCTTTTTTCTTGCCCGACTCTTTACTTTGCTTGATGTATTTTTGATAGTCATCGTAGGCCTTTTGTACCGATTGTATATCGGCCCCAAAATCCTCCAAATACTCCAATTTCCTTTGGGCAAAAAGCACTTTTTGGTCCGCATCGGCAGTTTCCTTCTCCAAAAACGAGTCAATCAACTCAATTATAACATTCTCTGCCACGTCCTCTTGTTGCAACGTCAAATCAATCAATTGCAAATACAATCGAGGATTATTCGGATCCTTTGTGATCGCTGACCGTAAAATCTCTAACGCTTTTTCGGTATTTTTGAGAACTTTCAATACAAATCGTGAATATTTTATGGCTATATTACTCGAAATCATCTTATTTTTGGAATTGTTGATGTAATGTTCGTATAATTGTGCGCATTTCTCATTATCGCTTCTTCTTCTCTCTAAATTGATTCTTCTGTAAGCGACTTGGAGCACATTTGGGACTGATTTTTCGAGATTGACGAGGATTTCAGCAGCTCGATTGAAATTCCCGACACTTTCCTCAAACATGGCCCATTGGAGGTGCAAATTCGGTTTTTTTAGATGGTGGATGGTGCAGGCACGTTCGTAAACGTCGCGAATCTTCGGCTGGAGTTCGGGGTCTTTGAGGCTTTCCAAATAGTGGACAAACTGGAAATTTTCCTCAAATTAGAACTGATTTATGTGGAAAATCGAAATTTACCTTTAACCAAAATTCTTCGTATAAAGCGCAGGCGATAAGGCAACGTTCGAATAAGACTACGATTCTGACTTGGTCGCCTTGTTCGATTTCAAAGTCCAGGTACTCTTGCCAGTTTTTCAGTTGGCAACGTTCGAGGGGTTTCACGTGGAAGTAGGGCCTTTTGATCTAGTGGAACAATTAAAAAAATTAATAAAAACGGATTTATGAGAAAAAAAACACTAGATAATTTTGTGTGAATCAGATGGCCCTTGCGGTGTCCGCATTGCAAAAAACTCGGGATTATTTCGCAAACTCGGCGAAATAACCTTAGCAAAATCATCATGATTGAAAAAATATTGGTTTTAACTCTGCATTTTTCGTCAATTTAGATTATTTTGAGTATTTTTTCATCACTTAATGGGATTCTTGTGCAATGCTTGACATTTTTTGATTTTCGTTTAGAAACAACTGAAAGAAATAAATTAAAAAATAAGCACAAAACGACTTGTTTTTGCGATTTTTTCGTTCGAGAAAATCTCTTGGAAAAGGAGAAACTGTTCTAAAAAATGAAACAAAATGGCAAAAACAGAAAAAATTAACGCAATTTAATTTTTCGTATTTATTTTTTTTTTAATACTTTACAAAACAATTAGATAATAATTATCGAATTCAAATTTTTTAATAGAATGACCATTATTTTGGAAAAGTGACGAGTTTAACAATTATTATTATTGAATGAAAACGCTGAAAAAAAGAATCCAATTTTCATTTTTTTTTTAAAGGTTTAACAATAAAATAAGGAAAATTGTCGTTAAAAAACCGAAAATAAAACAAACAAACCAAAATAATGTATTTAAATCATGATTTTGCACTTTCTTTTCTCATATGTTCAAGAAATTTTCTTTAAAAAAAAGAATTTTTTGAAAATCTTTTAAAAATTAAATGT